ACATGAGTTGAACAAGGACAACAACAATAGACAAGCTGATGGGGGCAAAGGAAAGCACCAGAGATCTCAAATCTACACAAAGAACAACAGGAAACAAAGAAATGCTGGGAGAGGGAGTCTTCCCCAGAGAAACACACACCAGTTGATTATCCAATACCAAACTGTCATCCCCCAAAATATACATACTGGTAGCATTGTATAGACTGAACAGGTACTCATGGATTTAAGAATGTGGAGTGTGTGTGTGTGTGTGTGTGTGTGTGTGTGTGTGTGTGTGTGTGTGTATGTGTGTGTGTAACAGCAATTAATGAAAAGCAAGGTCATGAATTTGAAACAGAGTAAGAAAGGGCATATGGGAGAGTTTGAAGGAAGGAGGAAAGGGAAGGGGGAAATGATATGATTATATTATAATCTCAGAAATAAAAGAAATATTTTTTAAATAATACACACATATCTATATCTAGATCTAGATAGGTAGGTAGGTAAATAGATAGATAGATAGATAGATAGATAGATAGATAGATAGATATTCTTTGAAATACTAGAAGAAAAGTATTTGAACAAAGGGAGACTCTAAGGCATCTTTCCTGAGCAGGGTAACCGAGGGTCAGAGATCCTATGGCTGTGACAGGATAAGTTGGCACCATTCACGTAGAACTAGTTTTTGTAAATGTGAAAGATGCAAGAATGAGGGGTTCACAGAGACTTGCACCAAAGTTGGCCCAGATGATGCCAACGAGAGCCCCTATGCCCTATGTATAGCTAAAGCATTTGCTTTTGGCTCTGCTATGTTTGGGTCTTGCTTTGGTTCAGTCTTTCATTATTACCCTCCTGTCCTTCCCATTTGGAATATTAATATCTACTCTGCTATTGTATCTTAGAAATATTTAATATATTACAGGTGATCACAGTTAAGAGATTGCCTTGACAAGTCTGAGAACAGATTTGAACTTAGACTTCTCTACAGTGTTGGAATTGTTAAGCATTGGGGGATATTATTTTAAGGTGTGTTGCTTTTGTTTATGTTGCATTTGTTTAACTCTGTGAAGCTGTGTTACTTTGTCTGTCTAAAACACCTGATGGCCTAATAAAAAACTGAAAGGCCAATAACAAGACAGGAGAAAGGATAGACAGGGCTGGCAGGCAGGGAGAATATATAGAAGGAGAAATCTGGGGGAAAAGGAAGGAGCAAGAGAGGAGGAGGAGATTAAGGGCCAATCACTCAGCTACACAGCAAGCCACGAAGTAAGAAATAATAAACATTATACAGAAATAGAGAAAGGTAAAAGCCCAAAGGTAAAAGCTAGATGGGATAATTTAAGTAAAGCTGGCTAGTAACAAGCCAAGCTATGGACGGAGATTTATTTGGGAGCTGGGTGGTGAGCCCCCAAAAAGAGAAAAAAACAACTAACAACAGTTAAGTCTTCAGAGATTTTAAATGCCTTTTGCTTCACGAGATAACCATGAGCTTTGAGGACCAAGGGAGAAACGTGATGGTTTAAAAATGATGTGTTTCAGTGTCAGGTTGACAAGGGGTAGACTTGTATGGTTAATCTTTATTCTCAACTTGACTGGATTTCGAATGCCCTCAGAGACACACCTCTGAGCATATCTTTGTAGGCATTTCCAGAGAGACTTAACAGAGGATGGAAAACACACCCTTGATGGAGTGGCAACATCCAATGTGCTGGGGACCCAGATGAAACAGCAGGAGAAAGCCTGATGAGCTAGGATCCATCTCTCTCTGCTTCCCATCCCACTAGATGTGAGCAAGTAGCCTTCTGTTACTATGGCCACAGCTGGGAGCCAGTCCTGACAAGCTGCTGTCAGTGCCGTGACGGGCAGCAGCCCCTGCACCTCAGGCCAGAATAAATCATAGTTTTAAGTTGCTTCTCGTCAGGTATTTGGTCACAGCAATAAGAAAAAATAAACTAATGTACAGTTCTCTCTTTAACCATATAAAGAAAAGATGATATTAATATTATAAAATCTCCACCTACCTTGCAGGGGTGTTGTGAGGATTACAGTGTAGTATATACAATCTTTCGGATTTTTCTCTATACCCATTCCATCCATGAGTAAAGACAATTTGACTTCTTCTTTGCCACAGACACACGATAACGTATAAATCTTCGCCTATTCATTCAGCGATGCTGCTGTTTGCTATAAAACTTTCGTGTATTGTCTTTGGGATTGGGGAGATTTTTGGTGATGATCTTGATTAGATTATTGAAATTCTCTTTTCTGTCATGTTTGCCTAGAATTTTTACCAGGAGTGAGTATTAATGTTGATGTTGGAGCACTATACATAGCTGCTGTCCAAGTGAACAATGAATTCTAGCAAATTCTATGAAATGCCTTCTTTATTTACTGAAGTGATCATACTATTTTGCCTTTTATTCTTTCTATGTGAATTAGGTTGTTTCTTCAAATATTAAAAATATTAATTTTGGCTGGGCATGGTAATGCACACCTTTTTTTTTTTTTTTTTTTTTTTCCGAGACAGGGTTTCTCTGTGAAGCTTTGTGCCCTTTCCTGGGACTCACTTGGTAGCCCAGGCTGGCCTCGAACTCACAGAGATCCGCCTGGCTCTGCCTCCCAAGTGATGGGATTAAAGGTGTGCATTACCGCCGGGCGGTGGTGGCACACGCCTTTAATCCCAGCACTCGGGAGGCAGAGCCAGGCGGATCTCTGTGAGTTCGAGGCCAGCCTGGTCTACAAAGTGAGTTCCAGGACATCCAGAGCTCTGTTACACAGAGAAACACTGTCTCAGAATAACATATATAGGGCTGGAGAGATGGCTCAGAAGTTAAGAGCTCTAGCTGTTCTTCCAGAGGTTCTGAGTTCCAATTCCCAGTAACCACATGGTGGCTCACAACCATCTGTAATGAGATCTGGTACCCTCTTCTGGCCTGCAGACACAGCACTGTATACTAAATAAATAAATAAATCTTTTTTAAAAAAACCCATATATATGTAATATATATAATTAATATATTAATTCTGTGCTGTATTCCTGCAATGCAATGCCCATTGTTCTTGTTGCATTATCATTTTTATGTACTACAGGATTTAGCTTGTTGTTAATTTGTTAATATTTTCTAGTGTTTTTGAGAAATATTGATCTATAATTTTATATTTGTAATGTGAGGTTCACAGTGCTGTAAATATAATACATTTTTAATGATTTGTTAGAGCTTTATTGGAGGGAGACTATAGCATCATATTCATGACAGCCATGATGGGGTCCTGAAGAGGGAGACAGAGCCTTTTATTCCAAATAGGAGCTTTATTAGGAGAGACAGCAATCAAGGAGCACATGACCAGATACTAAAAGGGAGACATCCTTCAATTCTAGAGAGTAAAGAGGGTTTCTTTTTCTTGTAGTTTTCTGGACCAGAGAGGGGTTGGGGGGTCAGATCATGTGACTTGCCTACATACCAGGAATCACAAGGTAGAAAGTCACTGGATAAACATAAAGTCATAACAGTCGTCTTGGGTCCAGGTGTGGGGAATAGCTAGGCTTACAGCTGTAAGGGAAGGAAGTCTGCAAGGGCACAGAACACTTCATTCATCAACTCTCTATCCAGGAAGTGGCAGCAGTGGGCGTGGCCTGATCGCTGGAAGCTAGAGGACCTGCAACCTAATAGCATTGGTTTGAGAACAGTTAAAAATGTTCTCAAGGATGCATCTATTGTTCCCTGTAATAAGGATCCACACCATTGGTTTGAAAGATGTTTAGACACACACCATAGGAAATGCGTATTATACTGTGACCCAGTGCGCATGGATGCATGGGTCTGTGTGTGTGCACAGTAATAGTTTATGAAAGGGTTGCTGCCTTTAATAGAAAAGAGGCACTATTTCCTAGCCAGTGCCCTTCTATTATTTTAAATAATGGCAGCAAAGCATTAAATTCAATTCTTCAACCAATGTCATGCATGGCTTGAAAAAACACAGCTTGCATGTCATATGCACTAGATAGGCACATGCTGTTATTGTTGCTGTTACTATTATTAACCTGTGATCTCCAGCACCTCGAACAATGCCTGGCATGTGGCATCTGATAACCGTCTGTGAATAAAGATATTTGATGATCAATGCCTTCAGCTGAGTGCTTTCAATGGAGGGTTCAGCGAAGTGTGCACTTGAAGGGCATTCTTCTCCTTGATTCATAATGAATGAGGGTATCACCTAGGCCCATCTTTGCTTCTTAAAATTAATAGTAAAATAAATCTGTCAGCCACCAGGAGGAAGAGAAGCCAGGTTGTAATTACCATTTCCTGCACATATGCCCGCTCACTCATGCATGCAAGGCGCCTCTCATTCCACTGTCCCTTTGTCAAGGGAATTACCTGGGTGGCCTATTGGTGGCTGGATTTTACCTTGAATTTGAATCCTGCTTTTCATTACCAAAGGCTTATAGACACAATGCAGCATTGAAAACGGTGTCTTCGGGTATGTCAATCAAAGTAGTTTAAGAGCAGGAGTGACTAGCAAACCTCGTCTACCACAGGATTTCCAAAAGGAGGGCAGGTTATTACAATCAGTGTATAATTTGAAATTGCCTGTTCCAATAAATTGGACTACGCCATCAAAGTCCTCTAGCTGACTTTGAAAAGCATTTTGAGCATCCAGTAATGTGATCCAATGAAGAGGTAGTTTGGGGAAATAAAATGTTTCCATAGAAAACACAGATGAAATGTCACCATCCCTGTGTGTGTTTCAGAGTCTCTCGTCCTAAGAGCTCTCAAGCAGACAGGAACCAGCACCAGGTTACTAATGGCAGTTGTTTCCAAGACATTCTGTACTATTGCCAGAGAATCAGGGAAGTCTTTAGACAGGAAACCAAGAAAGCTCAGCCCGAAACTCTGAATGTGACCCTGACAACAAAGAATAGTGGAATTGTAGGGGGTATATGATGACTGTCTTCACTGAGCAAAAAAAGAGTTTCAGAACAATTATTATAGAATTTCTCTCTTTTATCCCCACAATGGCTGTTCTTAAATTAGTATAGCATTTTACAATTGGAGATGTCTAGTACTGGGAGCATCCAGTAACTCAGAGCTCTGACTGAATCAGCATTCCAAACAGTGTTCTTATTGGACTTATGTAGGGAGAGGTTTGCTGTTTGTTTTTTAATCTGAGAGTGCCCAGGCTAAACCAGAACTTGCTAGAGTCAGATCAACCAGGGAACAGAACGCAGAGATTCACATTGGCGTTGCACACCCAAGGTGGTGTCCTCATGGTTCCTCACAGATAACACTTCCGCCGGGGAGAGTCCTGGGTGATAAAGAACACGGAGCATGTTCATGGTAAGTTTCCAGCTTCCCACTCCGTGTAGAGCCATTCTGACAACAGCCCTAAAAGAATGTTCAGCCCTAAGACAGCAGGGTTGCTACTCACAGTCTGTGCACGCTTTATTATTAATAGGCCTTACCTGTGCGGGTTCCATTTTTCCAAGCTATATGAACTCAGTATTAGAAAAGAAATAGAAGCAATTTTTCAAAGTGTCAACCCAGAAATACTTCACTATAAGAAATGAACCCACTGTTGCATTCTGAGCAACACACTCTGCACACCGTGTGTGTGTGTGTGTGTGTGTGTGTGTGTGTGTGTGTGTGTGTGTGTGTGAACTTGATCTCTTTTTTTTTCTTTGTTTGAAACAGAGTCGCTCTATGTAGTGCAGGCTAGCCTGGAGCTCACAATGTTCTTACCTCTGCCTCCCAAGTACCAGATTATAGGTATGTAACACTACCCCTTGCTCTGGTAATGTTACCTCGATTTTCATTCCTCTTATAAGTTAAGGGACAGAAGAAGTAGGTTCTATTCTTCCATGATTAGAGAGAAATGGTAATTATATTTTCAATCAACTAGAGAGATATTAATCACCTAACTATATGCCACTTATACAAAATCAGTGTGCTCATTTCTTGTTATTTTCTTCTTAGATAAACACTTCTACATTTTTCTTGTATGATATCCTCCTCTTCTTACATAAATATAAATGTATGCAATGTTTCACATCCAGCTTCCACAGCATAGCTGACAATGTAAAGCCAGAAAGGAACACAACAGTCATTCAAAATGGCAGACCGATTTCCTATTAGAAAATTGGGTCCCTTAAGTTAGGTGATGTACCAGAATCCCCAGCTGAGCCAGAATGGGAATCACAGCTCCTGAAGACTCTTGAGGCAGACGGCAGGAAACTCAAGGCAGGAATCATGGAAGAGAGAGGGCTACTCACTGGCTTGCTCCCTAACGTCTCCTTAGCTAACTTTCTTATAGCCCAGGACCAGCTGTCCGGGAACGGTGCCTCTCATGGTGGGTTGGACCCTCCTACATCAAATTAGCAATCAAGAGAATGCCCCACAGACATGCTCACAGGCCAGTCTGATGGAGACCGTGCCCCAATGGAGACTCCCTTCGCTAACTCTGGTCTGGGACAAGTTGACAGCTGAAGTTAACTGGAAGAGAAATGCAGTGAGAAAATAGGCAGGACAACTCCCTGCTTGAGTCTTGCATGCATCTAGGCCCCCAAACATCTTTGTTACTCAGATGTTATTTTTCTTTCTCTTCAGTCTAAACAAATGGCTGTTGTCTCTTGTGCCACACTTGTAGCTTTTAGATAAAGTCATTATTTTTATTTTAATTGGATAATAGGAATAGCAAGTTCTTGGCCCATACTATGATAGTACTTAAGAGTCACCAGATGTTCCAGCCTCTGCGAAACTACTGATAGATCACTGTGAGAATGTCTGGAAACTGATGATTTCCCCTTTCTGAAGCATTTGTCTCTTTTCTGAAGCATTTGCCTCTAGTAAAGATCTCAGTCACTTAACAGGATTTTGTTTGTTGTGATTTTAGAAATTTTCTGAGCAAAGGAAAAAAATCAAGAACAATTTCCTAAGCAGAAATTTTGCAAAATAAAGCTAGTCCTAAACTGGTGATAAAACCAAACAATATAGCCTTGATTGACACATCATTGGTAGCCGTTCCCAATTTCCAACCCTCATGGATGCTCATATTTCCTGTCTCTATAGATTTTCTTTCTCTTGACATTTGATACAGACACATAAAATATACAGTCCTCGACAGCTAGGGAGGCTGCATGGGACCGAACTAGGCCCTCTGCATGGGGGTGGCAGTTGTGTAGCTTGGTCTGTTTGTGGGGCCCCTAGCAGTAGGACCAGGATCTGTCCCTGGTACATGAGCTGGCTTTTTGGAACCTATTCTCTATGATGAGATGCCTAGCTCAGCCTTGATGCAGGGGAGAGGAGTTTAGTCCTGCCTCAACCCTTTCTTAGGAGTGTTTGGGGTGGGAGTAGAAAGGAGGTGGGGGAGGGAACAGGAAGAGAGAAGGGAGGGGAAACTGTGGTTGGTATGAAAAATAACTTTAAAAATTTAATAAAAAAAAATGTGGTCCTCTGTGGTTGTTTTCTCCAATTAGCACAATATTTAAGGTTCGCATTTGTTACAGCATGCATCAGTACTTCATTTCTTTTGGATGCCAAAAGATATTCTATTGTATGGGCACACTACTTTCAAAATGCACTCATTGTTAGATGAACATTTGGGTTGTTTCTTGAGTACTGTGGGTAATTAGGCAAGCATTCATGCATTTTTGCACAGACATGTTTTTATTTCTCTTGAGTATTTTGAGTATATACTAAGGACTGATTTGCTGGATTATTGGGAACTCTCTTTTTAGCAACGTGAAAACACAGTTTTTCTAAAACAGCTACCATTGTACATCCTCACCAGTAACATATAAAAGCTTTCCCCCACGACTTGCTAATAGTTACTTCTATGGTTTTTATCGTCATTTTAGTGGATGTGAAATGATAGCTCATTAAGATTTTGATTTTCATTCTCCTGCTAATAATGATGATGATCATCTTTTCATGGTTATCGGGTATTTATACAGCTGAACAAATGTCTATGCAGAACTTTCGACCACATTTAAATTAGGCTATTTGCATTTTTATTATTAAATTTAAGAAATCTGCAGATAGTTTAGATATTAGTCTGTCATGGTTTGGATCTCAAATGTCCCCTGAAGGCTTAGTTGCCGGTCTGTGGAGGGGTCAACAGCTATTAGGTGGATGTGCAGCTGGAGGAAGCAGGGACCATGGCCTTGAGGATACATCTTATTCTGGTCCTTGTCTCCAGCTCCCCCCTCCTTTTATCATTCTTCCTCTTGTTCTTCCCCTTTTCTGTTCACTCCCTCTCATTCTCTTTCTCTGGTTCTCTCTCTCCCCTCCTTCCTCTCCACCCTCTCTTGACCTTCCATAAACTGAGACTTACTCAACCACAATTTCTTTGTCATGATGTTTTACCTCACCACAGGCCCAGAAACAACAAAGCCAAGTGACCATGGACAGAATCCTCTGAAATGATTCTTCCTTTAATGCTGATTTTCTCATGTATTATATTCACAACCACAGAACGCTATCAAATAGTTCTTTATCATGTGTCTCTCTGTATTTATAAGATATATAAGTAGATAGATAGATAGATAGAGATAGAGAGATTTGAAAAATGTTTCTCTTTGGTTTGTCTCTTCACCTTTTGTTATAGCTTGGATGAATGTACCCCAGAACTCATGGGTTAGAACCTTAATCCTAAAAGTCATATGTTAATAGTATTTGGAGTTGGGTCCATAGGGAAGTGACTGGAAGTCTTCATGAATAGGGTAATAACTACCTACGCACACATAAATGGATCCATTGTGGATGAATAGGTTCTTGAGAAGTTGATTTTATTATAAGAGCAAGCTCCCATCCTTTCTAGCATGATTGTGAACCTCTCTACTGTGTTGCGGCACAGTAAGAAGGTCCTTGCCAGATGCAAAGCAGGCAGATGCCAGTCCCATGCTCTTAGTATTGTCTTAGGAGCTAGAATTGTGATAAAAAGAAGTTTTCTGGTCTTTATACATTACACAACCTGTAATATGCAGTTACAGCATCAGAAAACAGATGAAGACACGACACATCTTCTTGGGGAGAAAAACACTATAACTTAAATGAAATCTGTTTGTGTTTTCTTTTGTGGTTTGTACTTTCAACACCAGCCCTAAAAACCATTGCTGAACCTTCAATAGGGTCTGACGAGTTTTGAAGCACAGGCAGGCCTTGAACTTACGACTCCAGTCTCAGTCTCCTGAGTGGTTGGGATTCTAGGCCTGCACTGTCATTCCCACATCATTTTCACCAGCTTTTGTCATCACTTTCCTGGGGTGCCAGCGAGGCTAGGTAGGCAAGAAAAAGAAATGGAAGTTATTCACATTGAAGACAGAAGCGAAACTATTTGCAGAGGACACAATACTTCATGTAGGAAATGCCCAGATCTTCATGAAAAAATACTAGACTAAATGAATTCAGCCACACTGCAGGACCCGAGCACTACTTCAGTGCATTCTGGTTTGGGTCTGTTGTACTTTCATTTTCATTCTCTTGAAAGTACTTTTCAATTTCACTTGTGAATTTCTCTTGTGACTCTGTGGTTACTTACAAGTGTGTGTGTTGTTCAGTCCCTGTGTGTTTATGAATTTCCCAGGGTTGGCTTATCACGTGGCAGGTACATCATAAAGACAGTTCTGTCCTATGGAGAACAGTGCACACTCTGCTGTTCTAGAGTGAGAGATACTACAGATAGTGACTCTGTCTGATTTACAGGAGAGGTGAATGAGAGCTAGGCAAAATTAGTGGGTTATTTAACACTCAGCTGGCATTTGATTTTAGGTCTTAAATATTTCCTCAAAGGTCTCTGTATTAAAGGCAGTTCGTGCTTTCCTGGAGAAAAGGAAGGGGTCATCGTGATGCAGGCGCTGGTACCTTGTCCTGGCTCCGGTAAGTAACTCCCACCACTGCTGATGCAGGCAACCACAAACTCACCAGGTGAATTCCTTAGTACCACCCTCAAACCAGGTACCTCCAACTTTGAATTTGCAAACATGATTAAAGAATCCAGTACAGAGCCGGGCAGTGGTGGTGCATACCTTTAATCCCAACACTTGGGAGGCAGAGCCAGGTGGATCTCTGTGAGTTTGAGGCCAGCCTGGTCTACAGAGCAAGATCCAGGACAGGCACCAAAACTACGCAGAGAAACCCTGTCTCAAAAACAAAACAAAAAAAAGAATCTAATACAGACCTTTTTTTTTTTTCTTTTACAAGTAAGAATTTTTCTTTCAGAATAGCAGTTCCCAAATATTAAGGTCTAAAGACCCATTTGCACTCTTGAAAATGTTCAAGGACACCCCAAAGCTCTTGATCATCTCAGTTAAATCCACATATGCTTAAGAGTACTAGAAGTCAAAGCTACAAGATTAAAACAGCTATTAACTCACTTAAAAATGAATATCCCCATTATGCCCATTATTACAAATAATTCATTTTAAAGAAAAATAGCTAGATTTTCACTGTTTACAATTTTACAAATCTCTTTAATGGTTAATATTACAAAACAGATGGATTTATATACTTCTCTCTGCATGTTGTCTGTTACAACATGTTATTTTAGTCCAGAATATGGAGAAAATTCTTCACATAGACAAGAAGAACAAAAAAGGAAATCTATTGGTATTTCTAGGCAATTTGGGCTATTTTTCCTTAACATTCACACTCAGCAGGTCCAGTTTCTTAGACATTAGGGCAACACAGCAACCAGATGTTTATCAATGAGTACATTTGTACTCTGTGACATTCAATCATCAGTGCAGGGGTGTTTCCTAACACAGCTAAGTCTCTGATTCCCGAGACACTGATGGGCATCCTCCAACTCAATGTATCCATGAACTAATGATCTGGGGTGAAAGTTCAACAGCTCAGGCTGACATTTTGGTCTCACAAGACTGCCTTTACTTTTCTGTCAGTACTCACTTCCTCCAGCAAGGCCACACCTCCCCAAGTTTTCACTACCTCTCAAAATAGCACCACCAGTTGGGGACCAAAACTTTCGAGAGTATCCTGAGTACTTCCTATTCAAACCATAACACCACCACCCCGTGTTTGACGACTTACTAGGGCATCTCATAGAACTCAGGAAAACAGGTTTACTAACTATAGTGGATTCATTGTAACTCAGCAGCTGCCAAGTAAAGGTGATGCACGGCGCAAGCTTGGAGGACAGGACCACGAGCTCCCATGCCTTTTCCAGAGAACTCGTTCTCCAACCCTTAGATATGCTCTGCAGCCTGGAAACTCTGAAGCCAGTTGCTTAGAGATTTTCATGGAGATTCCATAATGGAGGCTCCATCTGTTATTAATGAGATCTTCAGCCCCACTCAGCATCCGAAAAGATAGAGCTCACAGCCCCTGCCTTCTGCTCAAGGCAATCTTTCTGGAAACCAGCTCCCCCTGAGCTTGTTTGGAGTTGTCAAATTAGAACAAAAGGCGCTCCTGTTTCCCAAGAGGTTCTAAAGGAGTTAGGATCTCTATGTCAGAAAGCACTCAAAGGCCACACATACATTTCTTGCATGCCACCATTGTTCTATCGTTACATAATATTTCTAAAAAGAATAATAGCTGTAATACCACCAGTCAGTCTCATCAGAAAAAATATCTTTCAATTTTGGAATGTTGTTAAATTCACAGTGGTGAATGACAGTATTCTGAAAGTTTGAATTTGTACACAAGATACTAAATTTTATCATTGGCAAGAAATATTACCACTCATTTCCTTTGAAGTAACAGGCTCATTTCATTCATTTTGGGAGAAAAAAAGTGTCAATTGCTCAGATTCAGTAGCTATAGTTTATGAATCATTTGTTCATTTGGGGTAAAAAAAAAAGGGGGGGGCATTACATGATGCCCTGGGCTCAAATTCCAGCTCCAAAAGAGTTTTTACATTGCAAAGCATCACTGATATGCATTGCCTCTCGACATTGTGGGTATGTCTGTAATGGACTATCTGGATTGTGTTAATTGAGGGGCGAAGACGCACCCATTGCAAGCAGTACTCTTCTCTGGGTTTGAGTCCTGAACAGTATGAACATAAAGAAGACAATGAACACGAGTAAGCATTCATGACTTCATCCTCTCTCTGCTTCTAGACTGCTGATGCTGTGTGACCAGCCGGCCTCCTGCTTCTCTCTCCATGACTGTCCCTCCAGAATGTCTCTCTATTTTGTCCCTCCAGAACAGCAAGTCATCATAAAGACTTCTTCCTTGTCTTAGTTGCTTCTCTGTAGCTGTGATAAAACACCACGACCAGGCCACTTGCAAAACAAACATTTAATTGGGGACTCCCAGTTCCAGGGGATTAGAGGTCATGACCATCATGACGGGGAGCATGGCAGCAGTCAGGCCAGTATGGCATTCGAACAGTAGCTGAGAGTTCACATCTGACCCACAAGTACAAGACACAGAGAAAGAGATGATTGAGAATGGTGTGGGCTTTTGAAATCCCAAAGCCCACCCCCAGTGACACACCTCCTCCAACAAAGCCACACCTCTTAATCCTTTCCAAATAGTTCTACCAACCAGGGACCAATAATTCAAACATTTGACAGACCATTCTCATTTGAACCACAGCACTCCTCTAAGCTGTTGATTTTTTTGGTACAAAAACAATCAAAATTTATTTACCATTCACTGTTAAGGGCTCAAGCAGACTTAATAAAAACAAAAATACAGTTCAAGATACAGAGTCAAATATATAAACCAAGGGAAGGAATGACCATCTAAGCAAAAAATAAAATGATGACACAGAAGAGAAGCTGGACAGCTTGGGCCAGGGCTCTTAACTGGAGATGTGCTTTGAGTAGATTTCTTGCAGGTACTTCCTACAAGCCACAGGGTTTCCTTAGCAGAACGTATGTACAAGGGGCTATCATAGTAAGGTTCTCTTTAGTATGCTCTGGATAGAGAACAAGATGGTCCTGACATCGTACAGATCAGACCACTTATCTCTGAAGATGACGGGCAGATGTTACCCTGAGTTTCCAAAGTGGAGTTGTTGCAGGTGTGAGGAACTTGACTGTGGATACATGGTAAGGGTAGCCACTGGGGGACTCTAGGGAGAGTTTATTCCTCAGATCTTCATTCATTATGTCAGCATCTTCACAGACGGTCCCTATTCATTTGGAAAGATTATCTGATTGGTTCCTGCAGCCTGTAGTCCGCAGGGGTTGGGAAGTGCTCCAGCTGGGCTCCTGTGCAGATGTGGCAACAGCTGGGTCATCATTTGAGAAGTCCATCTCCTGGTGCTAGCAGGAGGCTCCCTTAAGTTGCTTTTTATTAGGATATTTCTGTCACAGAAAAAAAAAAAAAAAGACACGAAAGCACCACAGATCACAGAGATATTTCTGCCTCCTAAAGGACAATCTCACATTGGTTTTTACTGCAAGAATATGGTGTGGTGGGGTGAACTCTCTACTGATTGGTTTTCCCCCCCCACTGCTAGGATACAGGCTATGTTATCAATTTTATCCCCCTTCACTCTTGTGCCGCCAAATTGATTGATAGTGAACATGACAAATAATCCTCTTATGCTTTACCCCCCCAAAAAAAATCATTTTGTCATTATAGATCCCGTGAGAACACTTTAGAGATGAACTTGGGAAGGAATACATTGGAAAAGGGGAGAAACAAATGATTTGGCCAGCCTCTGACCTGGGAAGTGGATTCAAAGGCTTTAAAGCGCCCATTTCTGTGTTCTCCTGGGTGGCCCGCTCTTGTCTTTAGAGGGACCTGTAGCTGAACCATGGGAACTATTCACTCACAGCAGTGCTGTATGGAAATGCAACTGCACTAGTAACTGTATGGCTGGGTGGAGGGATCGTGGAGCTGAGCCCATCATGACACTCCAGATCGCCACCAAGAGTGTCAGAGACTGTCCCTGAGAATATCTTGAGTGCAACACGAGCACAGGTCTCACTGGGGTCTTTGAATAAGGCAGAGCTGACTTCTTGGTTCAGGCAGTCTTAACTCAAAGAATTAAGGTCCCAGAAACTCAACATCCACCCATGCCACTCTGAGCCAGTGGATCATGCCACTCTGAGCCACTGGATCATGCCACTCTGAGCCACTGGATCATGTCACTCTGAGCCAACAGATCATGTCACTCTGAGCCAGTGGATCATGTCACTCTGAGCCAGTGGATCCCGGATTCCTTGCAAAGAATGACAAGCAAGGAGAGTAGATGAAAAGCTAGCAAGTCTTTATTGAAGTAGAGGAGCAGCTTCCTATAAGGGAGAGAACTCAAAGGTGACTTGCCAATTTGGCCTTGGCTGGACCCCCTTTTAGGCCCAGCAATCAAACCTGATTGGGTCGGCCTGAGAGGCTTCTGTCTATCTGGAGAGAATGGATGTGGGGGAGTCTGGTGGGGGGATAGAGTAGAAGAGAGAGAGCAGGCTCCGGAAAAATCTGCCCGTGGGAGGCCGGCTGGAGGGAGAAGTTTCAAGGGGAGGTATGGGGGAACAGAGGTGGGGGTGGTGAGATGAGGGAGGGAGTTAGGGAGGAGGCAAGTGGCTTAAGAACCAGAACATGAGGAAGGCAAGGGCTGGTGGGCAGCCATTGTCAGAACAAACGCCAGTCAGTGGTCAGTCACAATCTTAATAAATTGGGCCTTTTAAACTCGCAGCTTCCAAGTTAAAGCTACAGAGAATGAACTATTTTTTTTGTCGCACAGAAGCTCAGACCAGTACTCAAGAGCCCAGTTCAGCACTGTGGGCAGGAGAACAGCCTCTGAGTCACCCCTACAGCTCTTGAGCTAATTTCACAGATTGTGGGGGGAGGGGCGAGGGGTCCAGTTTCCGCATTCACTGTCTGTATTGAGTTCATGGGGAACTGCTAGTCTGCAGATGACTCCTTCTGAGATAAGTTCACCAGCCCTGCCCACTTTGTAAAGGATTTTCTGCAGAAGCGTCTTAACCTTATGTAGCTGGGGGGTTGGGGTGGGGAGAAAAAGAAAAGAAAGAAAGAAAAGAAGAGAAAAGTAACTGTCCTACCCTTCTCTCTGTCACAGAGGCAAGTGGGACTACCTAACTGCCAAACCAGTAAAGGTTAATTCAAAACAGCTGGCTCTGCGTAAAATACTAACCCCAGAAACCTGAGGTCACCACTGGCATCAGTTTTGTACCAACCACAACCCTTCTTCCTTTTTTTTTTTTTTTTTTGGACAGGGTTTCTCTGCATAGCCCTGGCTGTCCTGGAACTTGCTCTATAGACCAGGCTGGCTTCGAACTCAAGGATTTGCCTGCCTGCCTAGTGCTCTAGTGCTGGGATTCAAGGTGTGTGCCACCATGCCCAGCTAGCTAGGCCTGCTTCTTTTTTTTTTTTTTTTTTTGGTTTTTCGAGACAGGGTTTCTCTGTGTAGCTTTGCGCCTTTCCTGGAACTCACTTGATAGTCCAGGCTGGTCTCGAACTCACAGAGATCCTCCTGGCTCTGCCTCCCGAGTGCTGGGATTAAAGGCGTGCGCCACCACCGCCCGGCTAGCCCTGCTTCTTAATCAGGCTTTAATAAGACCTAACAAAATTCCCATCAGGCCAGTTAAGAAACTACGGATGGGGCTGGAGAGATGGTACAGTGTTTAAGAGCTGGTACCACCTCTGCAGAGGATCTGAGTTCAGTTCCTAGCGCCCACATTGGGTAACTCACAACTCCCTCCTAACTCTAGCTGGAAGGGATCCCGCACTCTTCTGGACTCGTTAGGCCCCGGTACTCAAGTACATGTACTCACACACAGACACACACATATTCACATAATTAAAAATAGTAAGAAGAAATAATTAAAAGGAAATTGTGGGTGGAGGAAGATATGATGTCCAGTACTTATCCTGCCCTACACTGAGGCAGGGGCAGGAAGATTGCCTCATGCTGGAGGCCCACCTAAGCTTCATAGTAATTTCTAGGTCAGTCTGTGCTACAGTGTGAGGTACGGTCTTTAAAAAATAAAAACAAATAAAATAAAATAAAGCAGAATAAAAACTATCTAAGGAAGAATGCAGATTTGGGCTGTACCAAAGCTCATGTGCTCTGACCGTTTCCCAAGTTTAAAAAAATTAAAGTTTAAAAAAATTAATCTATTTATATGTTTTGTTTGTTTGTTTGTTTGCATTGCCTTTTTTTTTAGTTGTGGATTTTGTTTGCCTTCTCAGAGGTGTTTTCTGGCGCGGTGCTGTTGGTGCATCTGTCCAATTTCTCCACGGGAGGGTAGGTGGGGGCCAAGGGGGACCAGGGGGCCTGAGATGATGGCTGCGCCATGCCTCCTCCAAGCTTCCTGCGCCGCGGACGCGCGCGCAAGCACGGCGGCGGCCGGCCGCGCGCGCGGGGCGGCGACGCGTAGGGCCAGGCCCGCGCTCGGGGGCCACGGTGGGCGGCGGCCTCGCACCCCGGAGCCAGCGCGCACCCGGCTTCCTTCCTCCTTCCGGCGCCGCTACATCCCTGCACCCTGCCGCCGCCGGCGGGTAGCGGCGCGAAGGCTTGGGGCGGGGCTGGCCTCCGGGACACCAGGGACGCCCACAGGCCCGGGGAGGCTGGAGCAGAGTGCTGGCAGCCGGGGAGGAGATCGCGAGCGCCGGCTGCACAGGGGTGAGCTGGGAACCCGGGGACCGCGGGGTCCCCCACCCCCATCCCGGGTGGACAGAAGGGTGATGGAATCGGTTTTCCTTGGCGAGCCACCTCAGTGTGTACTGGGGCGACTTAAAGACATCCCTGGATGTCTTTCCGGGAAGAGCATCACTTAATTATGCAACGAGGCGACGTCCTTGTGCGGGATGCAGTGATGAATGGAATCAGTAATACTTGTGGACCATCCATCATCTACCTCTGCCATCCTGGGCTGGGAATTTGCATTTGTAATTTGGGGGCTGGAAAAAGGAGATCATTTTCCCTCTTGGGTCCCCGGGGCGTGCAGGGAAGGAGGACGGAGAGGGAGGAAACCTGTGCAGCTTGTCCGAGTGAGCGCACGGTTGAGCGCGGCTCCTGTGGCGCCGGGGCAAGGACCGACTGGAACCGCAGGAGCGCTGCCAGCAGGTCCAGCGTGCTCCACCTCAGACTTTCTCCACCAAGAGGTCTGTCAGAAGTTGGAGGTCTAGACGTCAATTTCTGCACTTTCTGGCTGAACAGATGAAACAGGTTTTCCAAAGGCTGGTGCCTTTTCGCTCTTCAAGTCTACTCCAGGCAGGAAAGGGCTGGGCAGTGAATACAAAGTAGCTAGCGCAGCCAGGTTCTGGTTAGCTGAGCAGCGGGATTTGTCTAAAAATTTGTCCGAACCAGACAGAGGCTCTGGGCCACAAGGAGTTGGGTCACTGCGTTGGTCTCTTTGAATTGCCAGAGTGGGGAACGTCTTGAGATATTCTTAAAAAACGAGGCAGCTCAGCTTTGTTCTGGCTTGCTGATCACCAGCCAGGACTTCATCTTTTTTAGGTGAGTGGGTTAAAAAGAAAAGACACAAAGAAAAATAAATGGCTTTCTACCTTCGGGTCCCCAGGATAATTAGGACATAATTCATCTTGAAGCAGAATTGAAATTCAAGATGAAAAGAAGCATCTTTACATGTTTGCTCTTGACCCCGAAGAACAGAATCTTAAGGAAATAACCTGAGAAAGTCTCTACTTCCCGGAAACAAAAATAGGGGTTCTTGTAAAGCAGAACAAAGAGCATCGGAAAGAATTTGTAAATATTCTGGACCATTTTCAGTAATAGTTGGGTCATTTTTTAAGCTTCAGGAAATTATACAATAAAGAATTATGAGAGTCAGGAATATAGCAGGGAGAGGACTATGGGAGACCTTAGAGACTTCAGATCCAGTCTGTTTTCTCTTCACGCAATCTGAATTGTTCAAGATACGTGACATGAGATTGCCTTTAATTTTAACATTGAGGTGTTTTGTTTTTCTTTTAGAATAAAGGCCATTGTTTGTTTATTCTGCCAATAACCCTATTAAATCTGTGGTCTCTGTAATGACTTTTTTTCGGTTATTCATTTATCAAATGGCTTTTGTCCAGAATCTGTCAGGTACTAAAGCCTGAAGGAATCCAGAACCCAGAGTGTATCTGTCATTGGAATAATGGATGGTGCTGTATAAAAATTATTTGCCCAATGTCAAACAAAGGAAACAATGGGATTGGATTATTTTCTTCATAAAAATATTTCATTAATAATTTTAATTTTCATACTAAATCACAAGGGTGGCTTTTAAATAGCTGGCTGTCTTGGCACACGTGGAATATGTTCTTGTTTATTAAAAAATTCAAGTGCTACCTGCTTCCTGTGAGGGACCTGTTATACAAAATACAGTTGAATATTCCAAGCGACTATTTCCAGTAGAAACTAAGTTATGTTAAGAAAATTGACCTAACTTTCAGTGGTGGTTTTGTTACTAGGTTTTGGTTTTGGTCTTTTTGTTTTGAGATGGGTTTTCATGTAGCCCAGTCTGGCTTCGAACTCTGCAGCTGAGGATGGCCTTGAATTCTCACTGTTATTTTAAATCATCCTACACAGGGACAAGAGGAGCCACAGACCTCAAGCAGAGCAAGTACGGCATGAGAATGTGACACCTCCAACACCAGACCTCTGATGGTCTGTGATGGAAAATGTGAACCCACCAGGTATTTAAGGTCATTGCTATTCAATATACATAGTGCTTCCTGTCTCGCTTGTATAGAGATTTGAGAGAACTTAAGCATCTGATGATGAATATATACATGCATGCTTAGAAATGTCTCCTTAAATAGAGTAGGGGCAAACCCTCAGCAGCTCACACTGAGCTGGTGCCTGGTGGGTGCATAGACTGTCCTGTGAAGGTGTTCACTATACTCTATTATTCAAAGCTCCTGTCTTGACCGTTGTTGTATTTCTCACTGGACAGAGTTAGGATGTGTTTTCGTCCTGCTAACCAAGGACAGCCCAACCTTCTAAGATGGGGTTGGAAGGACTGCAGCAGAAAAATTCTGAACTCTGATCCAGAGAAACAGACACTCTGAACGTAAAAGCTCAGTGGTCTATAATACAAGTCTATATGGCAAATTTGTATGCTGTTCTGTGCTTTATTAAGTTGTAGTTTAATAAATTTGTTGCTACACCACAATTCAAAAATCAAAAAGTCTGACCAGGCAGTGGTGGCTCACGCCTTTAATCCCAGCACTCGGGAGGCAGAGGCAGGTGGGTCTCTGTAAGTTCGAGGCCAGCCTGGCCTACAGAGCGAGATCCAGGACAGACACCAAAACTACAGGAGAAACCCTGTCTCAAAAAACAAAAACAAAACAAAACAAAAAATCCAATAGTCTAACAGACAGTTGATACCCTCATTATACCAGCCTTGGGGTCTGGTTCTTTTCTCCCCAGTGTCCTTCTAGGAGTGACAGCTCCTTGTTATTACTAAATTGTAGGACATTTCCTTTGTGTCTGGAAGGATTACAGAAGTTGAACACTGTATCTGTGAAGCCTGAGGTATGTGTGATAGGGTGAGGACCAGGGCTTCCACCTCAGCCCCAGAGGGCAATCAGCAGCTCTGTTCCCAGGCTCCCCTCTAACCCCTTTTGCTCATGTTATACCAGAGACACCAGCCTCTTTGTAGCTTTCAGAATTCCAGAACCTAGACTGTGGTTTAGTCAAACTCTTCCTGATTTGCTCCATTCCCAACCCCTCCTCTCCCCCCCCCCCCCGCTTTTTTTTTTTTACCAGTTTTGTTTTAATAAAACATGATCTTTATTATATCAAATTATACATTCAAAATACAGTTTCAGTCATTTTTCTTCCAGATGTTTTGATCAACTCATTGTAAACAAGGGACTGAAATCTGCATACAGTCTTGGTACGAGAACGTCCAGGGTCCTGGGCAGGAGGGCAGGTGGATTGTTCTTTTCAGTGTTTATAATTTGTGCATGTTTTTACATTTATTTATTTTGCACTCTCACATACATATGCTATGTATGTATATATATACATATACACACCATATCTATCTACAAATACTGTGTGTGTGTGTGTGTATGTGTGTTTACAAGCATGTGTGTGTGTGTGTGTTTACAAGCATGTGTGTGGCAGGGTACAGCATGTGGAGGTCAGAGGACAACTTTTGGGGGTCAGGTCCTTTCCTTCCACCATGTGGGTACCAAGGATTAAATTCAGGGCCTCAGGCCTGGCAGCA